AGTGATTGCACAATCCTTCACATGGTCAGTGATTAAACAATCCTTCACGTGGGCAGTGATAGCACAATCCTTCACATGGGCAGTGGTTGCACAATCCTTCACATGGGCAGTGATTACACAATCCTTCACGTGGGCAGTGATTCCACAATCCTTCACATGGGCAGTGATTACACAATCCTTCACATGGGCAGTGATTTCACAATCCTTAAAGTGGGCAGTGATTACACAATCCTTCACATGGGCAGTGATTGCACAATCCTTCACATGGGCAGTGATTGCACAATCCTTCACATGGGCAGTGATTACACAATCCTTCACATAGGCAGTGATTGCACAATCCTTCAAGTGGGCAGTGATTGCACAATCCTTCAAGTGGGCAGTGATTGCACAATCCTTCACGTGGGCAGTGATTCCAGAATCCTTCATATGGACAGTGATTACACAATCATTCACATGGGCAGTGATTACACAATCCTTCACGTGGGCAGTGATTACAGAATCCTTCACATCCGCAGTGATTCCACAATCCTTCACGTGGGTAGTGATTGCACAATCCTTCACGTGGGCAGTGATTGCAGAATCCTTCACATGGGCAGTGATTACACAATCCTTAGCATGGGCAGTCATTACACAATCCTTCACATGGGTAGTGATTGCACAATCCTTCACGTGGGCAGTGATTGCAGAATCCTTCACATGGACAGTGATTAAACAATCCTTCACTTGGGTAGTGATTGCACAATCCTTCACATGGGCAGTGATTACATAGTCCTTCACGTGGGCAGTGATTACACAATCCTTCACATGGGCAGTGATTGCACAATCCTTCACGTGACCAGTGATTGCACAACCCTTCACATGGGCAGTGATTCCACAATCCTTCACATGGGCAGTGATTACAGAATCCTTCACATGGGCAGTGATTACACAATCCTTCACATGGGTAGTGATTACTCAATCCTTCACATGGGTAGTGATTACACAATCCTTCACGTTGTCAGTGTTTAACAATCCTTCACGTGGGCAGTGATTGCACAATCCTTCACATGGGCAGTTATTGCACAGTCTTTTACGTGGGCAGTGATTACACAATCCTTCACATGGGCAGTGATTACACAATCCTTCACATGGGCAGTGATTACACAATCCATCACATGGGTAGTGATTACACAATCCTTCACATGAGCAGTGGTTGCATAGTCATTTACGTGGGCAGTGATTACACAATCCTTCCCATGGTCAGTGATTAAACAATCCTTCACATGGGCAGTTGTTACACAATCCATCACATGGGTAGTGATTACACAATCGTTCACATGGGCAGTGATTGCACAGTCCTTCACATGGGCAGTGATTACATAGTCCTTCACATGGGCAGGGATTACACAATCCTTCACATGGGCTGTGATTACATAGTCCTTCACATGGGCAGTGATTGCACAATCCTTCAAGTGGGCAGTGATTAAACAATACTTCACATGGGCAGTGATTACACAATCCTTCACGTGGGCAGTGATTCCACAATCCTTCACGTGGGTAGTGATTGCACAATCCTTCACGTGGGCAGTGATTGCAGAATCCTTCACATGGGCAGTGATTACACAATCCTTCACGTGGGCAGTGATTACACAAACCTTCACGTGGACAGTGATTACACAATCCTTCACATGGGCAGTGATTACACAGTCCTTCACATGGGCAGTGATTACAAAGTCCTTCACGTGGGCAGTGATTCCACAATCCTTCAAATGGGCAGTGATTACACAATCCTTCACGATGTCAGTGATTAAACAATCCTTCACGTGGGCAGTGATTGCACAGTCCTTTACATGGGCAGTGATTCCACAATCCTTCACATCCGCAGTGATTCCACAATCCTTCACATGGGTAGTGATTGCACAATCCTTCACGTGGGCAGTGATTACACAATCCATCACATGGGTAGCGATTCCACAATCCTTCACATGGGCAGTGATTACACAATCCTTCACGTGGGCAATGATTCCACAATCCTTCACGTGGGCAGTGATTACACAATCCTTCACATGGGCAGTGATTGCACAATCCTTCAAGTGGACAGTGATTGCACAATCCTTCACAAGGGCATTGATTGCACATTCCTTCAAGTTGACAGTGATAACACAATCCTTCACATGGGCAGTGATTACACAATCCTTCACGTGGGCAATGATTCCACAATCCTTCACGTGGGCAGTGATTACACAATCCTTCACATGGGCAGTGATTGCACAATCCTTCACATGGGCAGTGATTACACAATCCTTGAAGTGGGCAGTGATTACACAATCCTTCACATCGGCAGTGATTACACAATCCTTGACATGGGCAGTGATTACACAATCCTTCACATGGGCAGTGATTACACAATCCTTCACGTGGGCAGTGATTAAACAATCCTTCACGTGGTCAGTGATTACACAATCCTTCACATGGGCAGTGATTAAACAATCCTTCAAGTGGGCAGTGATTACACAATCCTTCACGTGGGCAGTGATTGCACAATCCTTCAAGTGGGCAGTGATTACATAATCCTTCACATGGGCAGTGATTACACAATCCTTCACGTGGTCAGTGATTACAGAATCATTCACGTGGGCAGTGATTACACAATCCTTCACATGGGCAGTGATTAGACAATCCTTCACGTGGGCAGTGATTACACAATCCTTCAAGTGGGCAGTGATTACACAATCCTGCCTTTACGTATATACGTCAGTTCAATATAACGGTTTCATGGACAACATGAAACACTTGAAATATACTACATTTACTCTTTCGTGGAAATGAAATATGACTGAAACTCAGACTCCTAACCTGAGTACGAGTGACCTACTGAATTACTACTATATAGTTACAACGGAAATATTGCTGAGGATCCACTATAAGCTCCACAGCAGCCATGTTATCCTTGCGGGCGTGGTCGGAGTGGGTAGGCAAATGGTGCACTAGTCTCCACATGTCGAGTCACTGTTTCCCCGGGGAGGGGAAGCAGGACATGACACACTCAGTCCGTTTGACTCCAAATGAGAACGATGAATTGCAAAATAACTCGAAATCCAGAAATGTGTATGAAACATCAATACAATACTTGACCATGAATACCTTGTACCCAACAAAATCTTAATTTTGTTTATTGTAAGACCCATGACGGATGAAGTTCTTTAAGAAACTATCATGTAATTTTGTATAGAAATGTGTACATGACACGTAGGGGGACAAACAGTGGAAGGAACAGCGCAAGCACGGTCTGCACGTGCTACACAGTGACCGTGTTCATTCAATGACAAGATGCGCTACTCAGCAGATGTTAAACAGGTGATGTTGAATGTGTATGATTTCTTTAGAAGTGAAGCAGAAAGAGCAAAGCCTTTTTATGCAATTAATAAATTCTTGAAACGAGCTTCAAAAGCTCTTAGTATGTCCCCTCAGAAACTTAAAAATGTTGTTAGTCGACGAGATACAAATAGTCAGGCCAAAGAGGTAGGGAACATGTCAAAACCACGCAAGGTTGATAAATTAGACAGTTTTCAGAGGGATCAAGTCAGACGTGCAATTGTTAAACTGCACTCAGAAAATAAGTTCCTGTCCCTAAGAATTTTGAAGAAACACCTTGAAACTGACCATGATTTACGTGTTACAAAGTACAAACTATGGCAGCTGTTGCATACATTGGGTTACAAATACAAAAAGATAACTGGAGAAAATAGGGCTGTGTTGTGTGAACGGTCTGACATTGTTCGTCTCCGAAATCATTACCTTCGTACCATCAAGCAGAACCGTGAAGAAGGATATGAGCCCGTCTTCTTAGATGAGACATGGGTAAATGCGTCACACACAGCCAGCAGTCAGTGGGTACCCAGTGGTGACTGTAAGGAGTCTGGTAGAAAGTTACCAATGGAAAAGGGTGAAAGACTCATAGTTCTCCATGCTGGTTCTGCTAGTCAGGGTTTTCTCCCAGACTGTGACCTCGTCTTTAGAGCCAAGGCCAAAGACAACAGGGACTACCACACAGAAATGAACGGCAATGTATTTCTGGAGTGGGTGAAAGATAAATTAGTCAGTGCTTTGCCTACCAAGTCTCTCATTGTCATGGACAGTGCACGGTATCGTAGTGTGCAGGATCCAGAAAGCAAGACTCCAACCTCTAATAACCGTAAAGGAGACATGGTTACTTGGCTGCAACGGAGGAACATTACCTTTCCTTCTCGAGCGACGAAACCACAGCTCTATGAAATCATCAAAACCATGAAACCTGACCCCGTGTATAAAGTTGACAGTTACATCAAGGGTCAGGGTCACGCTGTTTTACGACTGCCACCTTATCACTGCGCCCTGAATCCAATCGAGTTGGTATGGGGCATCGTCAAGGGTGACGTTGGACGATCGAAAACAACGTTCAAATTACGAGACGTTGAACAACTCGTAAAGTTATCCCGTGGTCGGGTAACAGTAGAAACATGGAGGCGTTGTGTGGCCACAGTCGTTGAGTAGATAGAGCCACGTTATTGGTCACGAGATGGACTACGGCCAGCAACAGTCCAACCTATAATAGTGGCAGTCGGTTCAGGTACCAGCAGTTCCGACGACGAGATCTATGGAATGAGCGAGTCAGATTGCGACTGACATTATCATGAGACGGCCCCTCTAACGCTCAGTCATTTCCCCTACCACAGAACGTGCAGTGCATGCGTGCTTGCGCTGTGCCTTCCTCGGTGTGTCCCCCCTACGTGTCATGTACACATTTCTATACAAAATTACATGATAGTTTCTTAAAGAACTTCATCCGTCATGGGTCTTGAAATAAACAAAATTAAGATTTTGTTGGGCACAGGGTATTCATGGTCAAGTACCGTATTGATGTTTCATACACTTTTCTGGATTTCGTGTTATTTTGCAATTCATCGTTCTCATTTGGAGTCAAACGGACTGTAGATGTCCGAGAAGGATCTTCACTTTATCATATCATGTTGATCTTGCAGTGAGACCAAGGCATTTATCTCCTGTCTCGCGGGAAAATCTCAGACCGGATGTGACGGCATGACAAGTGTTGCTCAGTTGGCAACTTCAGCGCAGGCTGCCCTGGCAACCACTAGCTGTAGTAAGTATGCCGAAAACATTGTAAAGACTGATTGCAGCAGATGATCGCCTGACGTGGGTATTGATAAACACAATCTCAACAAATGACTGCTGATGGATCAAAGTCATCAACTTCGTACGTAAGAGTTTGATATCAGCGTATCCGACGGCATTTGCGTTTATTATTCAGCATCCTTGATTTTGTTGTGAAACAGTACACGTGTACTGGCAACATCCTCCATGGTAAAGGGAAGTGCTTCAGTATGTATGGACTATACTGCTGCTCTCACTTTCCTTCTAATATAAGGATTATTTCTAATACTACGCTAGGATTATTTCTAATACAACAGTAAACAGCGCAACTTGGTGTTCTTTCGTCACCAGGTTTCCCGGATGGATCAGCATGTGCGTGTGAACTGAATTATACGAAGGCTGATATGAGCACCAGCAGTCTGAAATGCACGTAAGTATCACCGTGGGTCGGCTTTGACTGCCCACGATACATGTAGGTGTGTCCCCTGCGTGTTCCGACGTCGCGTGCAGTTGTAGCACCTCTCTGTGTGGCTGAAACGTCAACAAACTAAGCAGAGGTCTGTGACAGATCTGAGGAACGTGCAGTGATGAAGTAAATGTAGAAAAGGGGCTTAACATCAAAAGTTACCCAAGCCTGTCATGTTGTTTGAAGCTGAGTCAGAAAGGTACTTGCAGCGATTTGTGAATATGGATGAAATCTGGGTTCACCATTTCCAGCCTGATTCCAAACAACAATCTGCAAGTACTTCCTCAAGTTTGTCCGTTTTCCAAAGGTCACATTTTAATTACTTGTCATATTTGTTCAACATACTGAGTTTTTTGTTGATATACCTCCATGACGTCACGTAATGTCCACAAGATTTCACTATTACATAATTCCTTCTATATGAGGCCTCGAACGTATCATAATTCAACCCTCGCAGGTGCAGATAGTTGGGCGTAGAGGTGTGGCGGTGGTGGTGTGGTGGTGTTTGGATGTGTTTGAAATTAGCGCAGGGTATAAGATGACGTCGGACCTACCTATGTGACACGTATCGTGTTCACCGGGACAAGCAGAAAAGTGGTACTAGCACTGACCATTGATTTCACTGTAATAATGAATGACAATATTTCAGATAACTTTCGTATGCGATTTGGTGAATCACACGTAAAATACTTAATGATGATCCTATATTATCAACATATTTGACACCCTAATGACATATGTAATGTCATTCTGTCCAAACTGAAATTATTTTCCGTAAATTACTTTATTAGAGAGCACAATGTTCAAGGCGACGCACACCCAACTTCCTCACGTACCGAGCTGACATTACACGACCACAGCCTACTAGTATCTTAACACAGGCCCGAGACCCGCTGTTTGACAAAGTATTGTCGTAACTGCTTTCGGGCGTCCAGTGCGACCCTAATACAGTTACTAAATGTATTGCCGTTCCTGGTCCTTGTGGTCACTTAAGCCAGGACATTGCCCTCGCCTTGTCCACCACGGCTCGGCTCCGTCAAGGAGTGATTGGTCTAATGACCCTTACTCCAAGTTGTCTCTATCAGCATTCACACACGCATAATAAAGAAACGCAACACCAGTTTATACTCACATAGTTTTACTTACTCTCAGCCCATCTATCAATACAGAACAGGATCAGACTGGCCAGGCTCGTCACTAGCTGGTGGAAACTTAGAACGATCGGGATTCGCCTCGATCGACTGTAAACCGCGCACCACTCTCCTAATGTTGAGGGTATCATTCTATAGTGTTCGAGCCTGACCTGTCCTTGTCACATGTCTCAATACCTCCATTTGATTCGTTACAAGTTTATATCTTACCATGAACTCATGTGTGTCACCATCGGAAAAATACCAAAAACCTACGTGCCAGGTTGCTCATCTCTCTATTGATTTCGTGACTCGCTCCGAAGCTCCAAATGGATTATACCTTGTAATTCCCCATTTGTTTCATTAACTCATGGATAATAGCCAGGGACCAATCCAATGATAAATATGAAATGTCCAGAATACACTTGTGATAAATGTGAAATGTCTTTTCTCTATTGATTCCTTTCCAACTACCAGTTCTGTCACGAACTATATCTAATGGGTTCTATTTATTATCATTCGTTTCTGAGATGCATTTTTAACCTTATAACAGTATTACCTGGAACTTTACACACATTCCTGTCGCTATGTCGAGAGAATGTATACCGAGGCACTGCTTGTAGGCAAGTAAAGGTATATCTCTCAATCACTTGGAGCTGCTAATTTTTTTTAATTTACCTTTAAAAATATGGTTGTGAAACAAGGTTGCGTGTTGTGTTCTCTTGAACAAGTGACAGAGTTATTTCCCTTCCTGTATATCTATAAGTTGGAGATGATGATAGCGTGTGGGTGGGAGTGAGTGAGTGAGTTTTACGCCGCTTTTAGCAATATTCAAGCAATAACACGGCGGGGGACACCAGAAATGGGCTTCACACTTTGTACCCATGTCGGGAATCGAACCCGGGTTTTCGGCGTGACGAGCGAACGCTTTAACCACTTGGCTACCCGACCGCCCCCGTGTGGGTGGGACTTTCAGCTGATGTTGTCTTCTTTATTTTTACCTGTTGTACCTGCCGGCCTTCCACAGAGCTCTTCGGGATTTTCTTGGCTGCCTGATCGGAACATCCGGAACCGGATGTGACGGAAGTACAACCCTGCGCACGCTCGCGTCTAACATTGACACCAGCATGACAGCGTTGGGCGACACAGATTGTCGTATGTGTAAATTGTGGTCTCTTTTTGATACGAAAGAATGAAACATGTCATCCTCTACACATCGTAACAATAACGTAACAATAATGTTGAAAGTTTAAAAAAACAAGACGATTTTACAAGATTTAGCTCACCAGAATGAAGTCATAGCCTGGCGCGTTTGTACGCATGTCCGTGTGTTAACGTTTCACTTCCCCTTACAATGTTAAGGTGTAAGCACGAACATTCAGGACGATGTCTGGAACCATCATTGGTCTGTGTGTTGTGTCAAAATATATGTTTGTTTTTCTTTAACTGTAGGAATGTTTGTTTTTCTTTAACTGTAGGAACCTTTCATTCGTGGAGAATGTTTCAACATCCTCTTCACAGAAATCAAAGGGCTCAGATATGTGTGTGGAATATATAGCGTTACAGTTGGAATAAATTATATCAAGAACATCATCTGCAAACTGGTTTGACCATTGTTGACGGTGTCTTACATCCCAACGCTTTACGAACTGTGGTGAATCGTTAGATACAGCCACACTTGATGGCATAGCACATTCAGCTTTATACAATGAGCAACAGTGCCTTGATGCTATGTATTTTCTGTAAGAAAATAACAAAGTCCAATAACAATTATTCTAAATTAGTCATATCTGTCTCTTCACCCAGCCAGCAAATCCAACTGTGCGTGTCAGATCGCCTACATCACGGCTGATATCAGTGACAACTCCAAGAAATGCACGTTCGTATTCCAAGCTGCCTTCATCTCTACAGTAACTACATCGTAATTAAACATACATTAACCACATACATATCCGAATTCTATAACCATTGTATAATGTACACTTTAAACTTGCATTAGCAAAAAACATACTTGTACATCTATCCAAATATGATAACAACTACCGAGGGTACAAAAGGACGGTCATCAGGTTCAACAAATATCATTCGTACGCAGTGTGTCATCGAAGAATATCATTGATGTCAGTACGAAGTGGAGTTTATCATGAGCGGCATCACATTAAGAAGAGTGAGTGGGTGAGTTGGGTTTAACGCCGCTTTTAACAGTATTCCGGTTATATCACAGCGTGTCAGCTTAATGTGGGAGGAAAGCCCGAAGTGATGCAGGACTCAGACGTTTACCACTTCGGTGAAACCCGTGAGCACGGGTATGGTGCTGACAAACCTAGAAACATAATCGGGGCGAACCGGGATTCGAACCAACAATCATAGGTTTCTGGCGTGCCCAAGGGACGCAACTCTGCACAGCGAATCGCGGCGCCTTATACGACTGGGCCACCCGTGCCCCAGATTAAGAAAAGTGTCGCATCACGACAAGCATCATGCCTCACAGTGTATAAGTTAGCTCAGTGTATCAGGTACCATAGTGTATCATGCTCACAGTGTATCATGGCCCACAGTGTATCATGGCTCACAGTGTACCATGGCTCACAGTGTATCATGTCTCACAATGTATCATGGCCCACAGTGTATCATGGCTCACAGTGTACCATGGCTCACAGTGTACCATGGCTCACAATGTATCATGGCCCACAGTGTATCATGGCTAACAGTGTACCATGGCTCACAGTGTACCATGGCTCACAGTGTACCATGGCTCACAATGTATCATGGCCCACAGTGTATCATGGCTAACAGTGTACCATGGCTCACAGTGTACCATGGCTCACAGTGTATCATGGCTCACAGTGTATCATGGCCCACAGTGTATCATGGCTCACAGTGTACCATGGCTCACAATGTATCATGGCCCACAGTGTATCATGGCTAACAGTGTACCATGGCTCACAGTGTATCATGGCCCACAGTGTATCATGACTCACAGTGTATCATGGCCCACAGTGTATTATGACTCACAGTGTTTCAGGTACCACAGTGTATCATGGCCCACAGTGTATCATGTCTCACAGTGTATCATGGCCCACAGTGCATCATGTCTCACAGTGTATCATGACTCACAGTGTATCATGGCCCACAGTGTATCATGATTCACATTGTATCATGACTCACGGTGCATCATCACTCACAGTGTATCATGGCCCACAGTGCATCATGTCTCACAGTGTTTCAGGTACCACAGTGTATCATGACTCACAGTGTTTCATGACTCACAGTGCATCATAACTCAAAGTGTATCATGGCCCACAGTGTATCATGTCTCACAGTGTATCATGACTCACGGTGTATCGTGTCTCACAGTGTATCATGTCTCACAGTGTATCATGTCTCACAGTGTATCATGACTCACAGTGCATCATGTCTCACAGTGTATCATGACTCACAGTGTATCATGGCCCAAAGTGTATCATGTCTCACAGTGTATCATGTCTCACGGTGTATCGTGTCTCACAGTGTATCATGGCCCACAGTGTATCATGACTCACAGTGTTCCAGGTACCACAGTGTATCATGACTCACAGTGTATCATGGCCCCAAGTGTATCATGTCTCACAGTGTATCATGTCTCACAGTGTATCATGACTCACAGTGCATCATGTCTCACAGTGTATCATGACTCACAGTGTATCATGTCTCACAGTGTATCATGTCTCACAGTGTATCATGGCCCACAGTGTTTCTGGTACCACAGTGTATCATGGCCCACAGTGTATCATGACTCACAGTGTTCCAGGTACCACAGTGTATCATGACTCACAGTGTATCATGGCCCCCAGTGTATCATGTCTCACAGTGTATCATGACTCACAGTGTATCATGGCCCACAGTGTATTATGACTCACAGTGTTTCAGGTACCACAGTGTATCATGACTCACAGTGCATCATGACTCACAGTGTATCATGTCTCACAGTGTATCATGTCTCACAGTGTTTCAGGTACAACATTGTGTCATGACTCACAGTGCATCATGACTCACAGTGTATCATGGCCCACAGTGTATCATGTCTCACAGTGTATCATGACTCACAGTGTATCATGTCTTACAGTGTATCATGGCTGACAGTGTATCATGGCTGACAGTGTATCATGGCCCTCAGTGTATCATGGCCCACTGTGTATCATGACTCAAAGTGTACCACGGATCACAGTATATCATGTCTCACAGTGTATCATGACTCAAAGTGTATCATGTCTCACAGTGTATCATGTCTCACAGTGTATCATGACACACAGTGTTTCATGACTCACAGTGTATCATGGCCTACAGTGTATCATGACTCACAGTGTTTCATGACTAACAGTGTATCCTGACCAACAGTGTTTCATGACTCACGGTGTATCATGGCCCTAAGTGTATCATGGCCGACAGTGTATCATGGCCCACAGTGTATCATAACTCACGGTGTATCAGGCCCCACAGTGTATCATGGCTCACAGTGTTTCATGGCCTACAGTGTATCATGACTCACAGTATATCATGGCCCACAGTGTATCATGACTCACAGTGTATCATGGCCCACAGTGTATCATGGCCCACAGTGTATCATGGCCCACAGTGTATCATGGCCCACAGTGTATCATGACACACAGTATATCATGGCCCACAGTGTATCATAACTCACAGTGTATCATGGCCCACAGTGTTCCAGGTACCACAGTGTATCATGGCTAACTGTATCATGACTCACAGTGTATCATGGCCAACAGTGTATCATGATTCACAGTGTTTCACGTACCACAGTGTATAATGGCTAACACTGTATCATGACTCACAGTGTATCATGACCGACAGTGTATCATGGCCCACAGTGTATCATGACTCACAGTGTATCATGGCCCACAGTGTATCATGGCCCATGGTTTAGCATGGCCCACAGTGTATCATAGCCCACAGTGTATCATGGCCCACAGTGTATCATGGCCGACAGTGTATCATGGCTCACAGTGTTTCATGGCCCACAGTGTATCATGGCCCACAGTGTATCATGGCCGACAGTGTAACATGGCCCACGGTGTATCATGCCCCACATTGTATCATGGCTCACAGTGTATCATGGCTCACAGTGTATCATGGCTCACAGTGTATCATGGCCCACAGTGTATCATGGCCCATGGTTTCGCATGGCCCACAGTGTATCATGGCCCACAGTGTATCATGGTCCACAGTGTATCATGGCCCACAGTGTATCATGGCCTACAGTATATCATGGACCACAGTATCATGACCCACAGTGTATCATAACTCACGGTGTATCATGGCCCACAGTGTTCCAGGTACCACAGTGTATCATGGCTAACACTGTATCATGACTCACAGTGTATCATGGCCAACAGTATATCATGACTCACAGTGTTTCTGGTACCACAGTGTATCATGACTCACAGTGTTTCAGGTACCACAGTGTATCATGGCTAACACAGTATCATGACTCACAGTGTATCATGGCCAACAGTATATCATGGCCCATGGTTTAGCATGGCCAACAGTGTATCATGACTCACAGTGTATCATGGCCCACAGTGTATCATGGCCAATGGTTTAGCATGGCCAACAGTGTATCATGACTCACAGTGTATCATGGCCAACAGTGTATCATGGCCCACAGTGTATCGTGGCCCACAGTGTATCATGACTCACAGTGTTTCAGGTACCAAAGTGTATCATGTCTCACAGCGTATCATGACTCACAGTGTATCATGACTCACAGTGTATCCTGTCTCACAGTGTATCATCACTCACAGTGTTTCATGTACCACAGTGTATCATGACTCACAGTGTATCATGTCTAACAGTGTATCATCACTCACGGTGTTTCATGTCTCACAGCGTATCATGACTCACAGTGTATCATGACTCGCAGTGTATCATGGCTCACAGTGTTTCAGGTACCACAGAGTATCATGACTCACAGTGTATCATGACTCACAGTGTATAATGGCCCACAATATCTTGACTCACAGTGTCTCATGACTCACAGTGTATCATGGCTCACAGTGTATCGCGGCTGACAGTGTATCATGACCTATAGTGTATGAGGACTCGCAGTGTTTCATGTACCACAGTGTATCATGTCTTACGGTGTATCATGTCTCACAATGTATCATGACTCACGGTGTTCCAGGTGCCAAAGTGTATCATGTCTGACAGCGTATCATGACTCTCAGTGTATCATGACTCACGGTGTATCATGGCCCACAATATCTTGACTCACAGTGTATCATAACTCACAGTGTATCATGACCCACAGTGTATCAGTACTCACAGTGTATCAATGGCTCACAGTGTATCGTGGCTGACAGTGTATCATGACCCACAGTATATGATGACTCACAGTGTATCATGACTCACAGTGTATCATGTCTCACAGTGTATCATGACTCACATTGTATCATGGCTCACAGTGGTTCATGTACCAAAGTGCATCATGTCTCACAGCGTATCATGACTCACAGTGTATCATGACTCACGGTGTTTCAGGTACCAAAGTGTATCATGTCTCACAGCGTATCATGACTCACAGTGTTTCATGTCTCACGGTGTATCATGACTCACAGTGTTTCTGGTACCACGGGGTATCATGACACACAGTGTATCATGACTCATAGTGTATCATGTCTCACAGTGTATCATGACTCAGATTTTATCATGGCTTAACAGTGTTTCAGGTACCACAGTGTGTCATGACTCACAGTGTATCATGACTCACAGTGTATGATGATTCACAGTGTATCGTGGCTCACAGTCTGTCATGACTCACAGTTTATCGTGGCTCGCAGTGTTTCATCACTCACAGTGTATCATGACTCACAGTGTATCATGACTCACGGTGTTTCAGGTACCACAGTGTATCATGGCCTACAGTGTATCATGTCTCACAGTGTATCGTGGATCAATGTGTACCATGGCCTACAATGAATCATGGTTCACTGTGTATCATGTCTCCGATGTATCATGACTCACAGTGTTTAAGGTACCACAGTGTATCATGGCTCACTGTGTACCATGGTCAACAGTGTATCATGGCTCACAGTGTATCATGTCTCACAGTGTATCGTGGATCAATGTGTACCATGGCCTACAATGTATCATGGTTCACTGTGTATCATGTCTCCGATGTATCATGACTCACAGTGTTTAAGGTACCACAGTGTATCATGGCTCACTGTGTACCATGGTCAACAGTGTATCATGGCTCACAGTTTATCATGGCTCACTGTGTATCATGTCTCACAGTGTATGATGGTACGAAGCGGTACGAAGCGTAGCATAGTACCAGGTATATCATCGTACAAAGGGAATCATTCATACGAAGGTTATCATCGCACCAATGAAATGTTGGTACGAAGGATTACATAGTACTAAATGTATTATGGTACTATCATGGGAGATTAATGGACTTATTAATGGATTATTATTATTATTATTATTATTATTATTATTATTATTATTATTATTTCCCAAATATATCCATTCTTTCAAACAAAATTCTGTTTAATCCGCCTTAGGAATTCAAGGGCCTTGTGAAATGTGAACGAGGGCCTTGAATACATGTAATCAGATTCAATATGATTTCTCATAGAGTAAACAATCGGATTTATTGCCAGTGTCCAAATTCTGCTGTTAATCGACCGGAAAACCAGTTGCAGGGTGATGAATAATCGAGTCATGAGACCCAGACATTTGTCTCTTTTTCCTTTCTTCTCCAGTGAGGTCAAGAAGCTAACTTCATGCTTTTTAGCGTCTGTCGCCAATGGCTGCGGCTCCGCAACGACCCAAACGTACATCGGCAAAATTGTAGAGTCGACATTCACTGACATTGGTCCAAGCGACTGCCGTACGTATTACTGTTATAACTGCTTAGCATCTGTCTGTATGGCAGGTCAAGGTAAGCCCAGCAATAACGCAGGTCGCGGACGTTTACAACTTCAGAATGGTCCACACAGACGACCAAACCCGGAGCGAATCTTGGGCAGTGGAAGGCACGCATTGGTCCCAAAGCGGAGCAGATGCTATTAACTTAATAATATTTGCATATACCTTGATGCACATAGACACGTCTAGTATTTAGCTCTATATGCAAGCAATCTACCATTGAGTGTATTGAGACACAGATATTTGCTCAAGAGGCATTCGTTTTCAGGCAGAATTATTTTTATTTCATTCAATTATTTATTTCTTTAGTAGGGCTACATCACTATTTGTTATATCTCAGTGGTGATTTTTTTTTTATCTCTCTCCATCTATACTGGCGGGAAAATGTAACTGTGCTTCATGTAAAGTGGTGTAAATGTTAAGTTATTGAAAATAACAACATAATATTTGGTCTTTTGTCGGATCAATGTTTTATCATTACAACTCATTGACAAAACCTTCGTGCCGCAATTCAAATTGCCATTAACTATGATGGGCTGTGTTCTTCCATGAGTTGTCATGCCATCCCATACCATTTCACTTCCACCATAAAACTGACGGCGTTGAGTAACGCAAGCGTCGCTAAAACATTCTCTTGGACTCATGCGCGACCATCAGAGCTGCCAAAGTGAAACCTGGACGCATGTACCAACTGCTGTCTACACCAAGCTAGGCGTGACATGGAAGCAGAACTGTGCGTGTCGCTGGACTTCGTTGTGCGCCATTCCTGCCTGTAGCATATCCATAGCATGTAGACATTGATTTTTCAGCAAGCCGTGTAGTTGCGTAAGTGTTACGGTTAAACAAAAGTGTTTTAGGAGCACCTGATAGCTAAACAATCGTTGTGTGCTGGTGACAGTAACAAAAACACGTGTGTGAGTATCATGATCCCAACAAACACGCAAACATGCTCGTGCAAATTGTGAATCACGACCTTAAAGTCGAGGCGAGGTCTTCGTAAAATGTATTTAAAGTTGCATTATATAATTTCAGATTAAATTATTTTTTCATTGAACTTTATATGAAGCACAGTTACTTTTTTCCGTTAGTATGTATCAAATATTTTACAAGTTTTCTTCTAACACTGAACAATAGACGAACATAGACACGTTGCTTTTAAACATTGTGGTCAGAAAACTAATTACTTATCAAAAATTGGTTCATGTTAATTATTATGCTCATTTTGAGGTTTACGATTTGTTCGATTCATTGACAGTGAGAGTAAATCAGTTGTCTTAAAGCATGCATCTGGTGACGCACGCACTATTGTAATCTAGCCTGTGTTCTATTACAGCGGTTACTTCCACATGCCAATGTGAGATCAATTTCAACAAAGCCGATATCAGTGACAGATCTACCACGTGCAAGTAAGTTAGATTTATCTCCCCTGAGGTTTCGATGTTTAAGTACTTAGAGGAAATATCAGTGCAGTGTGATTTGGCGCAGCAGTCCCAAAACATATACCTTGCACTTGTATTCATTTAATCGTAGTTAGTATTAGTCAAAGAAGATATACTACAATGGCAGTTCAAGTTATATTATATTTATATGTTTACAGTCGTAGTGTATTTGAAATCGTTCCTACCGAGCTGCACGCGAGTTAACAACGTATTGAAATTTAATAGTTACAGTATTTGACGTTAAAAGGTGTATTGACCCATGTCTCTCGTTATAAATTATCTGATAAAGACTTCACTTGTGTATTGATAAAGTATAAATACAAATAATGTAGGTTCGACTATTCACCGTTGTTGCATGTATATCAGAGCCACAAATGCAACCATTATGTTTCTGGGTTTGTCAGGGTTTCGCTAAAGTGGTAAACGTGTGAGACGTGCATCACCTGACACGCCATGACACGTCTGACATACTGTTCCTTGCGGCGTTACACCAAACCAACTCACCAATAACTAGCATCAGTAAAGAAAAGCTTGCACTCTATGCTAAAATAGCTTCAGCTATACAACTCGGTCCAATGTTGGCGATGAATGTGGCTTCAATGAAAATATTACAATGTTGAATATTATGTTCGTACTAAGTTGTAATTTTCCCCATAACCTTATAAGTAGTAGTCGTGTGAGCCGACTAAAGAAGGCAATCTATTCGCCGTGTGTTGCGTCCCTGCGTTGAAGGACGGGAGTCTGGAGGTTGAGGGGCTGGAGTCAGGAGTCTTCCAACTGCCAGATACCCACTTCCATCATTATAATTCCTGGACGGGTGGAAGAATGGGCTCAGTTCTATCACCCTTGCCGCTACGTCACCCTTGATCACCACTCTAACTCAAGAATTATACATCTTATACCACCCTACGTGAATGCTATTTTTAAGACACTTGTATAGCTACTTGTCAGATGAATGACGATTATTTCCCACGACTATTTATATCGGTGACGTGTCAGAAGAGGGTTTCTACGAGAATATAAGATATATGCCTGAATAGCTTGACATATTCATTGAATCAGTGAAGGCAATATTTCCTGCGTCGCATAGATCTCTGAAGGAGCTGTTGCGTTGCCTGGAGGCTGTGACGGAAACAACTGACCCTGTATGTGACGGCAGCAAGTTGAAGGAGGATCTCCTCACAGCGTCAATGTCATCTCACTTGGACCTCTGCTCATCAGGTCTGCTTACTTCCATAATTAACCACTCACGCACTTATGTCATTCGCTTTCATTTAGTGCCGTAATACATGTTATGTTTTCTTTGAACAATTATATAACCGTCGATGGAATATATTCTGTAAATAGTTTATAACCTTCTGTGTTGCATTTTGTTTTCAGGTGGCTCGACGGATTCTTCGATCCTGAGTTTGCTCCTCCTGACTATAGCATCCAAGCTGTTGCTGCCACAGTTGCATGAGTAGTAAACACACAAATACTTAGTAGTTTTTTACGTACTTGTTGTTGGAATGATTAAGCAGAATGGGTATTTTTATTTATTTTTTGGGGGGTGGGGGTGGGTGTCTGCATGTACATTTATAACTGAAAACCTTTCCTTGCGGTGAAGGGTACGCACCCCCTGTAAACTCTTGTTTCTCGAGAATGCTTCGAATTGTGTGTTATATTTATTGAATCAGAGGAACAGTCATGTTTACTGTATGCATGTGAAAAGACAATAGAAATGTGTTATTCCTTGTAAACGCACCTCCACACGTTCATAACTACAGTTTTAGCGGGCACGGGTGACCCAGTAGTTTAAGACGCCATCATTCGCTGTATAAAGTTGCGTCGCTTGGGTCACGCCAGAAACCTAGGATCGTGGGTTCGAATCCTGGTTAGCCCCGATTATGTTTCTAGGTTTGTCAGCATCAAACCCCTGGATTTCCGTGAAGTGGTAAACGTCTGAGACCTGCGTCACTTCGGGCTTTCTTCCAACATCAAGCAGGCCACGCCGTGATATAACTGGAGTACTGTTTAAAGCGGCGTTAAACCCAACACATCTATCTCACTCACCTTTCAGTATTAAAATGTAAAGACGTCACAATATAGATTGTGTAACGTCTAAGGATATAAGTGTGTGTCGGGCGTAACAATCTTCCCAGCCAATGACCCTGTATCCCCGATGATCAACTTTGCCCAGGTCGTGTCAATGTTTGCAGTTGCTGACTTATGACATGATCAAAGAGCACAGACGTTTGGCTAAAACGAGTGAAACATATTTGATTAAACTATGAGCAGGTTTACGATCCGACGTGTCTTTACAGCATGTCTGTTCGTGTCTCCTTGGGAAATCAGCTCTCGTGTTTAAATATTAGAAACATGCAACCTGATAACTTTTGCGATCCGCCTTTGTTTACATGTTACTCCCCTACGTTGTTAAGGTTACAAGTACAACTATGTAGGCGTTGAATTAAGTTTAATAAAGTTTACAATGAATCCTAGAAGTTCTACTCATTTCTGATATCAAATATGCAGATGTTGAGGAACAACGACAGTGTCCTTGAAGTCACGGTCGACTGTCTTCCTCTGACTAAAGAATGTGTGAACATGACCGTTACACAAACTCCGTTATCTAATTAGTTTGGTGTTTTGATAAAAGATGTATAAAATGTACAACCTGTTGGAGATTTTTAGATCATTAAACTGGTCTTCATCAGAGATTGGGTTACATTATTTTCAGAAACTATCTCCTCTCGCGAAAGATTGCCATCGGTCGGTTTCACAGATTAAAATATGAATTATTATTATATGTTTCGTCACCGTAACTGTGATCACACGACCGCGACACATCGTTCATCATAGGTTTCACCGGGTGTGCTTCGAGGAACGAGGGAACGTATTCTGCTATCAGTTTGGTTTCAGTTTATTGTGTTCTGACTGTTTCAGTTTATTGTGTCCTGACTATTTCAGTTTTAATTTGCCAAACTGGAAAACTCTTGATAGTTTGGTAACATGAAACACATCTTCATGCAGGTTTTATTCATATGGAAATATAGTTCTAAATCACATTGTTCTGAAACCTATACAAGAAAATGGTTAGCTGAAACTACACATGTCACCTATACACATGTCACCTTTTAATATATCTATCATCACGCCATCACGTTCAGCTTAATTGTCATTAGAGGTCACGTCATTATGTGTAGAAAGCGTGTTTGTCATGAAGATTAACTGTCAGTTCAGCTGTCACCATTGGACAATTACAGGGGATATGAAAACTTAACGACCACGGTGCATGGACATAATCTTCCGTAATTGACTAAATCATGTTTGTTTAGCTCCGTGCTGTTGTCACAGGATTACAATCTCCGGGACGACCAATTTCATCGGAAGAAAGACAAGATTTCAACCTTTGTAGTGATGTGCTGGCACAGTTGTGTTCGCCTTCTTGCGCTGAGCTGTTTGTCTGGAATTCATAGTACCGCGACCAACGCCGCTATACTCGATACACTGAAACATCATCCTATCCTTGTGCATCTGATCGAATTTGTCTTCTCTACTACAATCCAGTGAACACCATGGGAACTCCGTAGATTACGAAAGCCTAATGGTGCCACAATGGAAGCATATTTTTTTTTAAATCGAAATTGCTCGTTGTTTCAGATAGTTTCTCGATATTTCGAGCTCTTTCTCGTTCCTTCGATTTTTTTCTCTCGTTATTTCGATTATTTGCTCGAAATAACAAGTTTTTCTTGTTACTTCGATATTTTTCATTTATTTTCTCGTTATTTGAAGTTTATTTAAAAAACTCAAAATTTCGATTTCAATAAATTATTTTCTCGAAATTTCGGAAAGAAACTTGAAATAACGAGAAAATAATCGCCATTACGAGAAAATAATCGAAGTAACGAGAACAAACTCGAAGCAACGAGAAAATAATTGAAATAACGAGTAAATAATTGAAACAAGGGGGAAATAATTTAAAATTACGAAAATATAATCGAAGTAACGAAAAGAAACTCGAAATTTCGAGAAAACAACCAAATAATTGAAAAAAAGATATATGTTACCAAAGTGGCAGCTCTAGGCTTTCGTATTAGAGGAGTCACCCATCGTATCAAAACAAATAAGAAATCAGCGTTATCACTATCCCCTCGCCATGAGTGAGTGAGTTTGGTTAAACACCTCTTTGAACAATATTCCCGTTATACCACGGCGTATTACCTTAATATGGTGCAATCCATTAGCACGGGTATGGTGCTGAGAAACCTAGAAACAAAATCAGAGTGAACTGGGTTTGGACCCCACGATCATAGATTTCAGGTGTGCTCAAGGGACAGAACTCGGCGTCCCATAAAGCCTTAAAGGGGCCCTGATCTAAAGCAACTCAATTTTAGTCAATCTGGACAGATTTTTCAGTCAAAATGACTGAAATATTTACACATTTTATAAATTGCCTGAGAGAATCACATTTTACATATTACGGTAATATATACACGCTTACAAAGGAAAAGACTTGAGAAAACAACGTCTACCGCGCATTGAAGAATTTCCCAACTAAGACGTAGAGGAACAAGAATGAATCTGTCCAATGCTACAGCAAATGAAGGAAACCAAAATGCAAATATCATAATTACAACCTTCCAAATTAATGGGTATAATTTTAGGCAGCTTCCTTGTTCGAGGAATGTATCGTTTCGGGATATTATAACCCGTGTTCGTTTCTCAACTGATCACTTAGATTGTTTCAGGTGTTTCATATAGGTGTCAAGTCTCAAGGGTCGGCTGAGAAAGCCCGACGTGACAACTATTTTCATAACGTCCACGGTTCCTAAAAAATCCATTGAGTGATAGATAACAATTACCAATCAATCAACGTATTATCAGTTAACCCTTTGAACAAAATATGTTGTTTTAACATCGGCACTTCACGCCATGATATGAGTGTACTCCCTTTGTTTTAGTAAACCTAGACGTGTAAACACTCACTTTTGACATATCCACTGTGCAGGATAACAGTGATTAATCATCAACGTAATTTCTGTTAATCCTTTGATGACAAGGAACGATCCGTTGATTTACAAAAAAAGAAGTAAATCAACTGATCATTTAACTCTTGCTGGGCTGCCACGTGTATATTACATAACACTAATTTCACCTCACTTCAACCCTGGATTTAGATTGAATAATTACCCCAGACACAATAAATGCCAAATGGGAACCTTGTCAGGTAATCTAAGTGGTGCTTCCACTAATTGTACCTGTAATAAATTCAATAACTGAGCATCAAGTGAATGATGACAAATACACAAGTGTAGGGTTATACAAAAAGACGTGGATGACAACAAGGGAGTAGTAATCGTATTATCGACGCAATCCGATATCCGAAAATGATTTCACTGCAGAGATACTTTTTTTTATTACTAAACTATAATCATCTGGGGTATTTCCAAATGACGACATCTGATGAGCTCCGCCGTTCTTTTTGTCTGTTTGTTTAGGCTGAGGAAATTAATTGACATGCGTCCTTTGTCGAAATCTCTATAGATCACAGTTAACCAATCAGTGTTCAAAAATGCGTAAAACAAACATTGCCTCCAAGTTTATTTAGCTGTCCTTGCAGACGGTAGCCCAGTCTCTTGTCACGCTCAGTTGCGTTGCGTATCATCCGGGTACTCAGGGAAAAAATAAATAAATAACAAAGGCAACAACCAGTCCCGAGGAATTGCTTTAGATCAGTACCCCTTTAAGAATAAATAAATTATGGCACCAATTTTCGAACTCAGTCTTGATATGTAAAGATTCTCTTTGATAAGCTTGCAAAGTTTCATTCATGTAACATCAGTAGTTTTTTTAGAAAACTTGTCCCCATTGAAGACACTTATCACTAAGTAAAAAAAGTTTTGTAAGAAAGTATTTAATGGTTTTTGAGTTACGCTCCGGAAACGAACACCACCCTTATAGAACCAAGTCCAACTTGTTGCCATGGAAACGGTAAAAATAGAAATTTCTAAAATTCCTAAATAGAAAAAGGCACCAGTTCAGCATGAGTCTGATAGACATGCAAAGTTTGAAAGAGAAATATTTAACGGTTTCTGAGTTATTCTCCGGAAACGATTTCGGGAGGCACGCACACACGGACGCACCAACGGACGGACGGAACCCATTTCAATATATAACAAACAAGCACACCACTAAGCGCTCCTTTTTTCAATACTGTCAACAGAAGTCTGTGAGACACCGATGGTGCTGTGAGTGAGCACAGTACCGACGAGCAACGAGCCTCTCATGCAGCGGATTATTGTTAGTGACAGGATGTGATTCACATTAAAAAAACACCCCTTTGTCTCTGTGCTACAAGAACCGAATAATGTAAAAGGGTTCACATCGCATTTTTTTTTTTTTTGGGGGGGGAGGGGGGGGACATTCAGCACGTCCAGAGAAAATATTTTGAGGGGGTAAACCCGATGACATTATTTTTTGTCCATACTTATTTCTGGAACAAAATGTTTCACAAAATAAATTGTCATACAGCCATGTCAGTATGATGAGATCTGATTGGTTAACGTGATCCATGTCAGTTGATGAGATCTGATTGGTTAACGTGATCCATGTCTGTATGATGAGATCTGATTGGTTAACTTGATCCATGTCAGTATGGTGAGATCTGATTGGTTAACGTGATCCATGTCAGTATGACGAGATCTGATTGGTTAACGTGATCCATGTCAGTATGATGAGATCCGATTGGTTAACGTGATCCATGTCAGTATGATGAGATCTGATTGGTTAACGTGATCCATGTCAGTATGATGAGATCTGATTGGTTAACGTGATCCATGCCAGAATGATGAGACCTGATTGGTCCTCGTGATCATGATAACATACTTTATCATACCGCCATGTCAGAATGATGAGATCTGAATGGTCCACATGAGCTTGATAAATTACGATGTAACCCGCCTTGGAAGGTAGTAAAATTCTCAGCTTCGGAATAAATCTCTTATACCTCGTCAAGAGCTACAAAGGTCGCACGTGGATATCTGAGAGGCAGAATAAATCCCTTATTTTCCCGCTTCAAAGCAAAAAAAACCCGCCCGATTTTTCCGAGTCAATGGAAGTCACACTACACAGACAAGGTAACCTCAGCTCAATCTGACAGCTATTGTCTATTAATTTTGAATTTGTGTTAATTCTTTTACAATGCCACATTAGAACGTGTCGATAAGATAAACGACTCGGCTCCGGCTCGTGTTATAAAACTTTACGCGGGACGCATAATACGCCATGTACCCCGAGTGATCCTGCTACAACTTATAATGTAACCCGCCTTGGAGGTAATACATTTCTCAGCGGGGGAATAAACCCGCCACGAGCAAGTCAGGCTGCACGTAGACTTTTGAGAGGCAGAAGAAATCCCTTATGCATCTTTTCTTTTAATGTCATTTGGCGCGATAGAGACGAGACGAAAGCGAGATGCTTTTCACCATGAAAATGACAT